GGCACATTTTGGGCTCAGAAGGTTCTCTAGACTCAACATTGGATGCTTCTATTGTATTATCAAATGATACAAAGAATTTATCTTGGATGAGACTCATGAAAGAGTAAAACAAAGATTCCTATGTGGATTATCTTGTTTTTAAATTTTAGTTTGTAACATACTAACAAATTCACAAGAATTGCTTGGACTTCATTTACATAAGCAGAAGTGTCTCGCTAAGAAATATAACTTAATATTTAGAAAAGACAGACATAAAGATTAGAGCCCTTTTTTGGAAAAAGAAGTTAGGAAAAATTACATGGTATAAGAGAAAACTGCTTTTAAATATTCGTAAAGTAGCTGGTATAGGAAGGAATTGGACAGAGGTAAGAGTGTTTTCTAACAAAAATATTATTAGGTTGTTTACTTGTTTGTTTGTTTGTTTTTCCAAGCAAGTAATCATAGAATTATTCCTGATCCTCCATTTTGAACTTCAGCCTTCAGATCTGGATCCATAGGAGAAAGATGGTAAGTAGTAACATTATTGAGTTTCTGATTGTGGTGTAATATCTCAAGTAAAAAAGCATTTAATATGTCCTATCAATTCTCAAAACAATAAAATAGAACCATCTACCTTTGTTCTTTTACTATTAAGTCATAAAATTTAAATTTAGTGTGACTTTCTAATTCTATTCAGTGCCTGAGTGTAGTTCACTAATATGACTATGAGAGTTATGCATAGGGGGGCTATTTAAAAATTCACACAGTTTTAAAAGTGAAAAGGGGCATAACTGGATGGGACACCAGCACAACAAGGAAAACACAAGACTCTTCTGGGCAAACCAGAATGTAAAGTCACCCTAATTTTACCTGAGGTTGAGATAATTTTTTCTTTCTACTTGTTATCACCACCCCTACCATTACTGCTAGTGATGTTAGTTAAAGTTTATGGAAGTCCCTTGCTTTGCTTGATTATCAGGAAGTACAACATATTTTCTCTTGGCCAAACACCAAATTGAAAATAAAAAGGAGAAAAAAATAATTTTGGGATGGTGGCAGAAGTTGGCTATGTTCTTGTAAGCATTGTTTAGTAGAACGGCGGTATTACAGATGGAGAAATCAAGATACAAATAGGTTATGTAACTTTCCCAAGGTTACTTACTAAGTGGTGAAGTGGAATTATAGCTTCCATGCATTTAACTACTATACTATGCGGCTGTCCTATTTGTACTTGAGATGTGGTGTTTCAGGCCTGTTTTTGTTAGATGCAGTAGAGTCGATTTCAACTCATAGTGACCCCATGTACAACAGAACAAAATACTGCCCAGTCCTGCGCATCCTCACAATCATTGTTATGCTTGAGCCCATTGTTGCAGCCACTGTACCAATCCATCTCATTGAGAGTCTTCCTCTTTTTCACTGTCCCTCGACCTTAGCAACCATGATGCCCTTTTCCAGGGACTGGTCCCTCCTGATAACATGTCCATACATGAGATGAAATCTCACCATCCTTGCTTCTAAGGCGTAGTCTGGCTGTACCCCCAAAACAGATTTGTTCATTCTTCTGGCAGTCCATATTATAGTCAGTATTCTTCACCAAAACCATCTAATTCAAAGGCATTACATCTTCTTTGATCTTCCTTATTCATTGTCCAGCTTTCACATGCATGAGACAACTGAAAATGCCATGGCTTGGGTCAGGAGCACCTTAGTCCTTCAAGTGACATTTTTGCTTTTTAACACTTGAAAGTTCTTTTGCAGCAGATTTGCCCAATACAATATGTCTCTTGATTTCTTGACTGCTGCTTTCATGGGCATTGACTGTAGATCTAAGTAAAATGAAATCCTTGACAACTTCAATGTTTTCTCTGCTTATCATGATGTTACTTATTGGTCCAGTTGTTAGAATATTTGTTTTCTTTATGTTGAAGGGCAATCCATACCTTGATTTCAACAGTAAGTCCTCTTCATTTTCAGCAAGAAAGGTTGTGTTGTCTGCATAATGCAGGTTGTTAATGAGTCTTCCCCCAATCCTGATGTCCCGTTCTTCATATAGTCCAGCTTCTCAGATTATTTGCTCAACATACAGATTGAATAAGTATAGTGAAACTTACTTAGTCACAACTTTTCTGACTCTAAACCATGCAGTATCCCACTGATCTGTTTGAATTACTATCTCTTGGTCTGTGTACAGATTCCTCACCAGCACAATTAAGCGCTCTGGAATTCCTATTCTTCATAGTGTTATCTATATTTGATTCACACAGTTGAATGCCTTTACATAGTCAATAAAATACAGGTAAACATCTTTCTGGTATTCTCTGCTTTCAGCCAAGATCTATCTGACATCAGCAATGATATCCCTCATTCCACATCTCCTTCTGAATCAGCCTTGAATTTCTGGCAGTTCCCTGTAGATGTACTGCTGCAACCACTTTTGAATGATCTTCAGCAAAATTTTACTTGTGTGTGATATTAATGATATTTTAGGCCTAGTTCTGCCATTAATACACTGATTGATTTAGGAAAACCACTTAAGCCCTTTGAACCTTAAAGGAAAGGACAATGAAAATTTCCATGCCTAATTCAGAGTTTATTGTGAAGATAGAGATTATGTATGTAATTATCTGTTACAAGTACTTTGTAAAATATAAATTTGAGAGTAATGAAGAGGAACACAAACACAACACAGGAAATGATATAAATATTCTATTGTCCTATAGAATATTTGATCATAGTGACCCTATAGGACAGAGTAGAACTATCCAGTAGAGTTTCCAAGGAGCAGCTGTTAAATTCAAACTGCCAACCTTTTGATTAGCAGCCGAGCTCCTAACGACCGAGTCACTAGAACTCTATGAGTTGGGATTGATTTGACTGCAATGGGTTTGGTTTTGGGTTTTGGTTTATAGAATATTTTGTATTCCGGATTTGGGGTATTGCATCCTTGGGTGTTGTTTAACAGGGTCCTCTATCTCCTCTAATTGCTGTAGTAGGATCTAAAGGCTTGCCTAGATTCAGGTTTAATTTTTGGCACCATATTTTATAGGTGGAATGGAAACCAAAAACCAGAAAAAACCTTTGCCATCGAGTCAATTCCAACTCATAGTGACCTTACGGGACAGAGTAGAACTGCCCCATAGGGTTTCCGAAGGGAGGCTGGTGGATTCCAAGTGCCACCCGTTTGGTTAGCAGCTGAACTCTTAACCACTATGTCACCAGGGCTCCAAAATAGGAATACTGTCTAGAAGAGACCTTGGAGACAAACAACCAAATGAAATATGTGGAACTTTTAGGACCCTGATTCTAAGAAATCAATTATTAAAAGGTCTTTATGGAAAAATCCAGGTCATTTGAACACTGATCGTCTATTAAATTATATTGAAATTATGGTTGATTTTTTTTTCCCAGGTGTGATAATAGTATTGTGGTTATATTTTTTTAAGAGTCTTTATCTCTGAGAGATGCATTCCAAACTACTTACTGATGAAGTGCTACAACATCTTGAGTATTCTTTAAAATAATCCAGAAGAGGGGAGTGTATGAAGGGGTGAGGCAAGATTAGCCACATGTTGATCATTGTTGAAGCTGGTTGATGGCCGCATGAAAGATCATTATACTAATTTGGGCAAAATGTACACATTCCAGCTTAATAGTTCACAGGTGGCATTGTGGAACTCTATTAGAAACGACATAATATCAACTTGTACTTTTTAATTTTAGTGGCTATTGATGTCCATTGGCTAGATCATTATTTCTATGTTGTTGGGTGCTGTTGAGTTGATTCCAACTCATGGTGACAACATGTGACAGAGTAGACCTGCCCCATAGGGTTTTCCAGACTGTAATCTTTACAGAAGCAGATAACCAGGTCTTTCTTCCACGGAGCCGCTAGGTGGGTTTGAACTGCCAACCTTTCAGTTAGCAGCCAAGCCCTTAACTATTGCACCACAAGGGCTCATTATTTGTTATTTCTACATGTCCTTACAAAATGGTGATAATCTTTTTCTATCACTTCTTCCTCATTTATTAGCTGGACTACTTTTGTAGAGAGTAACTGTTCCTCATAAACTATTTTGTTATCCAGGAATACAGTTTGGACAGGAAAGGCAGGTTAAATGTTTTATTACTTCCCTTTCTTTGCTAGTTTTCAGAATAATGAGCCAGATGCAGGCCATTCAACACTTTGCCTAATGTCAGAGCCACTCTCTGCTGCCACCTTCTGGATTAGATACTCCACAAACACACACTTGGATTTTTTTTAATTGTAGTAAAAATATAAATAACAAAACAGTTGCCATTTCAACCTTTTTATCTGTACAATTCAGTGATATAAATTACTTTCACTATGTTGTGCAACCGTCACCACTATCCTTTTCCAAATTTTTCATCACCCTTAGCAGAAACTCAGCGCCGCCTGAAGCAATAACTCCCTGCACCTCTCTTCCACCTGTCCCTGGTAACCAAGTTTTAATACTGTCTGCCAATCAATTTATCACATATCATCTGTTTACTTTTCTCCCCATGTTTTTAAATATAGTGTATTCCAAACAAACTACTTAATATTGGTTTATTTTCCTTTTTAATTAACAAAACAAACAACAAAAAAACATATAACTGCTGACTAGAACTTATGATCAGAAAACCAGTATCATCAAGATAAATTGATTTAATTCAAGCAAAAATAAATTTTTGATGTTTCAGTTAGGCTGATGGATGATTAGATCTTCCCCTCCCCCCCCACCCCAGCTTTTAAAGTGTTTAAATTAACACTTTAACCTGCACTGTTATCCTCCTTTATCACAGCCTGAAAAGGCCAGGCTGGAACTGAGAGGCTTGGACCCTGCCGTTCTGTTGTAATTGCTGACATTGGTTTTGCATGCAGAGGCTGCTCAACAAATTCTTGTTTAATAACTGGATCCATGGTTGCCACTGGGGATGCTCTGGGTGTAAAGGCCTCAGGAAGGGAAGGAACAGAGATCCTGCTCTCAGCTATTATAGGAACTAGAAGCCTTAGAGTTTTAGTATTTGACAGAAGGATTCAGGAGGTGGGAATCCCATTTTTTCAAGCAGCATAAATATATGTTGGGACCTTTTCCAATTCTATTTTCCTCCTTTTTACGTGTCTTCCAGCAGTGAGGAGTTCCATAACCACACATCGTTTGTCTTTAAAGTGGCTTCTCACTAGATAACAAAATGAGTCAGTATGAGTATTTGTGCCTTAGGACCTAGACACAATGTTTGTTACCAGGTTTTTTCAGGGAAATGACTGAAATTAATTGTAGGGAATGTTGAGGAGTAGTGGTAGAGAATACACAAGGCAGAGTTTCCCCAACATTCACAACCCTTATCTACTTTCCTACCTGATTGGCTTGAACATCCCCATTGAGAGTGATTTTTTTTTTTTTTATTGTACTTTAGAAGAAGGTTTACAGAACAAATAGTTTCTCATTAAACAGTACACATATTTTTTTAAGACAATGGCTAACAAACCCACGAGATGTCAACACTGTCTCTTCTTGACCTTGGGTTCCCTATTACCAGCTTTCCTGTCCCCTCCTGCCTTCTAGTCCTTGTCGCTGGACTGTTGTGCCCCACTAGTTTCGTTTTGTTTTATAGGGCTGTCTAATCTTTGGCTGAATGGTGAACCTCGGGAGTGACTACATTACTGAGATAAAGGGTGTCCAGGGGCCATATTCTCAGGGTTTCTCCAGTCTTTGTCAGGCCAGTAAGTCTGGTCATTTTTTGTGAGTTAGAATTTTGTTCTACACTTCTCTCCAGCTCTGTCCCGGACCCTCTATTGTGATCCTGGTCAGAGCAGTCAGTGGTGGTAGCCAGGCACCATCTAGTTGTGCTTCACTCAGTCTGGTGGAGACCTTGGTAGTTGTGGTCCATTAGTCCTTTGGACTAATCTTTTCTTTGTATCTTGTTTTCTTCTTTCTCCCTTGCTGCCAAAGGGGTGAGACCAGTGGGGTATCTTAGATGACTGCTTGCAGGTTTTTAAGATCCCAGATGCTACTCACCGAGCATAGAAAGTAGAACATTTTCTTTATAAACTATGTTATGCCAATTGAGCTAGATGTTCCCCAAGACCATGGTCCCCACAGCCCAGCTATTCAGTCCCTCAGGGAGTTTGGATGTGTCTATGGAGCTTCCATAACTTTTCCTTGTACAAGTTGTGCTGACTTCCCCAGTATTGTGTACTGTCTTACCCTTCACCAAAGTTATCACTTATTTATTGTCTATTTAGTATTTCCCTCCCCTACCCCTCCCATCCCTTGTAACCAACAAAGATTGCGTCTTTTTGTGTGTAAACTTTTTCTTGAGTTTCTACAGTAGAGGTCTCATACAATATTTGTCCTTTTGTGATTGACTTATTTCACTCAGCATAATGTCCTCCAGTTTCATCCATGTTATGAGATGCTTCACAGATTCATCATTGTTCTTTCTCGTTGCATAATACTCTATTGTGTGTATGTACCATAGTTTGTTTATCCATTCATCTGTTGATAGGCATCTAGGTTGTTTCCATCGTTTTGCTATTGTGAACAATGCTGCAATGAACATGGGTGTGCATATGTCTATACGTGTGACATTTCTTATTTCTGTGGGATATATTCCTAGGAGTGGGATTGCTGGATCATATGGTATTTCTATTTCTAGCTTTCTAAGGAAGCACCATATCATTTTCAAAAATGATTATATCATTTTGCATTCCCACCAGCAGTGCATAAGAGTTCCGATCTCCCCACAGACTCTCCAACATTTATTTCCAGTGTTTTTGATTCGTGTCAGTAATGCCTAGGTGAGATGGTATCTCATTGTGGTTTTGATTTGCATTTCTCTAATGGGTAGTGATCGCATTTCCTCTTGTGTCTGTTGGCCACTTGAATGTCTTCTTTGGTGAAGTGTCTGTTCATTTCCTTTGCCCATTTTTTAATTGGATTATTTGTCTTTTTGTTGTAGAGGTGTTGGATTTTCTTGTAGATTATGGAGATTAGACCTTTACCTGACTTGTAATGTCCAAAATTTTTTTCCCAGTCTGTAAGTTCTCTTTTTACTCTTTTGGTGAAGTCTTTTGATGAGCAAAAGTGTTTAATAATAACTCCCAGTTATCCAGCTTATCTGGGAGTTTGTGTGTTGTTGGTTAAGGTTTGTATCCTGTTAATGCCTTGCATTAGGGCCTCTAGCATTGATCCTATTTTTTCTTCTATGAACTTTCTAGTTTTTGGCTTTATGTTTAGATCTTTGATTCATTTTGAATTAGTTTTTGTATACGGCGTGTGGTATGGATCCTGTTTCATTTTTTTTGCAGATGGACATCCAGTTTTGCCAGCATCATTTGTTAAAAAGACTGTCTGTTCCCCATTTGATGGACTTTGGGCCCTAGTCGGAAGATCAGGTGACCGTAGGTGGATGGATTTACATGTGGGTTCTCAATTCCGTTCTATTGGTCAATGTATCTATCGTTGTACCAGCACCAGGCTGTTTTGACTACTGCAGCTGTCAAGTAGGTTCTCAGGTCAGGTAGTGTGAATCCTCCTACTTTATTCTTCTTCTTCAGTGCTTTACTCATTCTGGGCTTCTTCCCTTTCCATATAAAGTTAATGGTTAGTTTCTCCATCTCTTTAAAGAATGTTGTTCATATTTGGATCAGGATTGCATTCTGTTCATAGACTGCTTTGGGTAGAACTGTCATTTTCACAATGTTGAGTCTACCTATCCATGAGCATGGTATCCTTTTCCATTTATGTAGATCCCTTTGGGTTTCTTGCAGTAGTGTTTTGTAGTCTTCTTTGTATAGGTCTTTTACATCACTAGTTAGATTTATTCCTAAGTATTTTATTTTTTTAGAGCCTATTTTATAAATGGTATCATTTTCCTAATTTCCTTTTCATCGTTCTCTTTATTGGTGTACAGGAATCCAACTGATTTTTGTATGTTTATCTTGTATCCTGCTACTCTACTGAAGCTTTCTATTAGTTCCAGCAGTTTTCTCCTGGAGTCTTGGGTTTTCTATGTAGAGTATCATATCACCCAGAAACAGGGACAGATTAACTTCTTCATTACTGTCTTAGTCATGTAGTGCTGCTCTAACAGAAATACCACAAGTGGATGATTTTAACAAAGAGAAGTTTATTTCCTCACAGTAAAGTAGGCTAAAAGTCCTAATTCAGGGTGTCACCTCCAGGAGAAGGCTTTCTTTCTCTGTTGGCCTTCTCATCAGTGTTCCCCCAGACTAGGCGCTTCTCCAAGCAGGGACCTTGGGTTCAAAGGATGTGCTCTGCTCCTGGCACTGTTTTCTTGGTAGTATGAGGTCCCTAACTCTCTGCTTGTTTCCCTTTCCTTTTATCTCTTGAGAGATAAAAGGTGGTGCAGGCCACAGCCCAGAGAAACTCCCTTTACACTGGATCAGGGATGTGACCTGGGTAAAGGTGGTGTTACAATCCCACCCTAATCCTCTTTAACATA